GTATCGTCGGAATTTTAATAGTATTTTTATTGTTTTCAAGAAATATTTGTATGTATATTTTATATATCTGTAAGAAACGACAACAACAATATTATAATACACCGAATTCTAAAAATAGACGAGTTTATCTACTATCAGCACAACTGACAACTGTAAAACCCGTTGACTTATTCTTAGTATTAATTTATTATTGTAACAATCTGCACTTTTGCAGTCGATAATAATAATTGTCGTCTATTTCGACTATTCGTCCAAGATAGGTAGGTGGTAACGTCGTTTATAGTTTCTATATAGACATGAATTCTTCTCTATAATTATTTTAATACTACGTGATTATTTTTTTCGTGTTATTCATAACATATTTACATATCTATGCTATTTTAATAATCGTGAATATCAACAATAAAAATGAAAAATATTCCGGCTAACGAAAACGTATTAAATTAAAATGCTGTAAAACATTTGATAATGATTATAAACAAAAACACGAAGAAAAACATTCTTAATGGTAAAAAAGTCGGGACTTGACTCTTTGGTGCTCCTAAAAATCCATTTGAATTTGAAGCTTTGAAATCAATTTAAAAACTATGAAGTAAAAATAGTGGTACTCGAGATAAATAATACCAACTATTATTATTATGTTATCAATAAATAGTATATTGTATTAATATTCATGTAAGTAGGTATGTCGTATGACCTTATACATTTTTTATGTTCTCGATTATTAGATTTAAAATATTCAGAGATCACTGGAAAAAACTAAAATGTTGTTCTACAAAATATTAATTTGGACGATCTTCCAGCAAAGGTGTTTTAAAATTAATCAGTAAGTAATAAGTATGAAATTCTTAGCTAAAATGATCATAAATTATTTTATGAGATATGAATAATATTTTTTTACAATTTAATCTTTCTACTAGTTATGATAGTTATGCTTTTCCTAAGGGCTAAGATATATGTATTTATTAAATATTGTATAATTTTGTGAGTCGACAAATTAATAGGTCTACCTCCTTCCTTATGTATTATTTGAGACGACCCTGTTCGTGGTTGTAACTTGTAAGTAACTCGATTAAACACAATAACCCACCATATTATAATTATTTCGTCAACTGGCCAAACTTTGTCCTCCTCTCTTTCTTATTTTAAAAATGTATTCATAATAATTCGTTTAATATAGATTTTTTTGCATTGTATTGCATTTTTCAATTAATTAAAATGAACAATGATTATCATATTAGTAAATGTATGGTATACCTAAATCGAGTTTTTCATTGAAATGAAACTTGTAAGAACGAAAGAGAGCTAGTCGTAAATTAATGAAGTTGACCTATCTATTGTATTTAAAAATGTTGTTTTAATATATAATATTATCCTATAACTTTTTATATTGTGTATTTATTTATTTCATCGATTAGTTAATAGATTAATGTGGGTGGTATAATTGTCCCCTGAGGTACACTACTTAATATTCTACTCAGTAGCGTACTAGCGTCGATCTATATGTTCAGATATTGTGGTCGCAACATAATAATGTAGTATAAGAACAATTTATTCTCATATGCAAGGACCATTATTAATATTCATTAGTCAATAAGACTATAGTGACTATTTTACACACACACGAAACCATACTATAATATATTATAATTTATAAGTATTCAAAAAAGCATTTTTTAAAACACAATTATACTTAAGCCATATAACTTATATACTCGTATATATTGCATAGTTTACCTATTATTACTATTAGGAGAGCTCAGAAGTTTTTGCAAATATATATTTTTTGGTAAGTCATAGAACATCAAAAGTAAGATACAAATTTATTCACACTTTCTTAATGTATGAGAAATTTTATTTTGTTAATTTATATATATTTATATATTTTTTCATTGTTATCTTGCTAATTTAGAATTTTAAATGCTATTTATAGGCATATTTTTATATATTAAAGTAAATAAACCATATAACCTCAATAGAATATCAAAAATATGCAAAGGATAATATATATTTTGATTTTCAAATAATAGGTACCTACGTTATCGGTTGTTGTCGTCAATGACAAAATTGACATTTGACAATTTATTCTCTTTATTTAAAAAAAAAAAAAATTGTTAGATGCATGATGCATATACTGTAATAATTATCAAAATCGTTGTATTTACCTTCCACAGCTGACCAATAGTTTGGCTAATGGCAAATATGAAATTTCAAAATTCAAAACTTATTCCTTCACCTAGATTTCGCATCTTATGTGGTTTTCATAAAAAAAAAAACGGTTTTTCGAGTTCTTTTGTTGTAAATTTTTCAAAAATCAAATAAACAATAATTACCTACATTAAAAGTTAGACTGTTAGAGTAACGTTCCAATAAACATTATTGCTCGTTTAAATCAAATTTACAGCACAATCATTTAAATAATAAATAACGACTTTAGTTATTTTATCGTAACCACTATGTTGTACAGTAGATATCGAGTAGTATGTGTTAAATCAAAATTCAATGAAGAATTTTATTGCATTTAAAGAACAATTTTTAACAAAAACATCATCTTTCATCCTATATGTATGTATTAATAAGTAAGTATATTTAATACCTACAGTTCTTAAAGTATTTTTATTATTTTATTGGTGTTAATGTAGGTTGATTTAATTTTTATTATAATCATTATTCTTTTATTTTATATACATCATGATTGTACAATAATTAATATTTATTTATAAAATTATCTATATGTATGTATAATCATTATAGTTATAGATAAAACCAATGCAACAGAGAAAATGCCCGAAAAAATGTGGTTCAATAGGTACTATTATTTGGTAAAAATTAATTCCCAACGATTATAAGTTATAATTTATAACGATTATTAAATAAGATTATACCTTAATAGGTAATGATTAAAATAATAATTATATTTTATATGATACGTATATATATTATACATTTATACACACCTCTATTGACTATTAATAATGTTTATCTGCAGTATAAAAGATTAACGCCCAAACAAAAGCGATTCCTTGGGCGATCTCGGCTTATAAAATCCTAAAAATGTATGTGTGTGTGTGTGTGTGTGTGTGTGTGTGTGTGTGTGTGTGTGTGT